TGTGAGGATGAATGCCACACCATTCCTCTTTAAACTGTCCTTCCTGGCATAGTAGATCATATGGTTGTCTGATTCAAAATGGCCAAAACCAGTCCATGTCAGCTCACTAATGCCTAGGATATCAATCTTTATGCATTCCATTTCATTTTTGACAACTTCCAGTTTTCCTAGATTCATACTTCATACATTTCATGTTCTGATTATTATTGGATTGCCACTGTTTCTCCTCAATTTGAGTGGTGCCATGTCAGCCAATGGAGGTCTTGAAAGCTTTACCTTATCCATATGAGTAAGGGTGATTTTACTCTGATAATGCAGCTCTTTCCCAGTCCTACTTTGAGAGCTTTCTAAGCTAAGTGACTTATCTTCCCCCTCAGTATTGGACAATGTTTCTGGACTATTCATAAAGTTGCACAGTAATGTATCAGACAGTGTTTCTCCACTATTCATAAGGTTTTCCCTGGCCAATTCTTTGAGAAGTGGATGGCCTTCTCTTTCTTCCTAGTCTGTCTCATCTGCAAGCTGGGCTGATACCTGTGCACCATGTGCACCCCACTGGGTTTGAAACACCAGTTGCACAGCCTCAAGACTCACAGCAACATGTTACCACAGTAGGACAAACCGACAGACAAGTTTATTTCCCTTAGCTGTTGGAAACCCCTCCAACCACCCTTACCTGGATCCTTGCAGCTAACTCCTTGCTCTGTTCCAGTCCCCTTTGCCTTTTCTGTCCTCTTCCTGCTTCCCGCCTCGCTGCTTGTGGGGGGTGGCCTGGGTTCCCTCTCCTCACCTGGCTCCCTGCGGTTGAATCCTCGATCTGTTCCTATCCCCTTAGCCTTTTCTGTCCTCTCCCTGCTTTCCCGCCTCGCTCCTTGTGGGCCATGGCCTGGGTTCCCCGTCTTCACCTGGGTCCCTGTGGCTAACTCCTTGATCTGATTGCCTTTGCCTTTTCTGTCCTGTCCCTTCTTTCCGCCTTGCTGCCTGTTCTTAGGTCCCTGGAATCCGACAGTAGTGAGTTTGTTTTTTTTTTGTACAATATCCAAGCCTCTTGTGGAGTGGAGCCATGCACAGACCAGGCACCAAACTAATATTTGTTGGATGGGTGGAGGAAGTGACACAAAGGGGAGTAAGCTAGATAAAGGAGAAGGAAGAGATTCGAAGTAGAGAGAAGAGCATGGACACAAGGTTGGCACTGTGAAACTTTTGAGGGAACTTCAAGTGGCTGACCATGACTGGAGTAAGTTTTGTGTGATAGAGAGACAGTGCAGCTTGTCAGAGTGAAAAACCAGGACTATAGAGCTTGCCAGCTTTGGTTTGAATCCTGGCTCCACCTCTCACCAGCTGTATGTCTTTGGGCACATTGCATAATCTTTCTGTGGCTACCTCATGATGTATCAAAAATATTAAATGGGTTCTAGCATAAGACATGCTTAGAACAGTGACTAAAACTTAATGAGTAGTCAATAAATGTTAACTCTTACTATTATGTGGGTTGAGTAGTAGATAATCAAAAAACAGACTCTGAAGTTTCCTATGTGAAGAGAAAAACAATCAAAACTTCATTCGAAGGGCTTTTGAAGGGTTGGGAGGAGACAAAGTATGATTTGAGATTTAGAAAGACATTTTGATATCTGCACAGACATGAACTGAACAAGATCAAATCGAAGAGAAAGACCGGTGAGGAGGTGACTGTAGTAATGTGGGTGAAAAGAGATGGGAGGGGGTACACTAAGCCAATGTCAGGAGCAGAGAAAAGAGGGTCATTGAGTGAGAGTAAGCAGGTACAGTCCATAGAACTTGCCACTTGAGTTATAGGGAGAATTGAATCTCAAATGCCAGGCCTGGACAATTGACTGAGTGAGGATATCAATCACTCAGAGAGGACTGGACGTGGAGGAAGATGGAATATTTAGTTCGTGCATTGTGAATTTGATTTTGGACTTGTTGATTTTGAAGAGAATGCCGTCGTTGTTGTTAGGTGCCGTTAAGTTGAATTTGACTCATAGAAACTCCGTGTGACAAAGCAAAACTGTCCCATGTTTTCTAGGCTATCACCTTTTGGGGAGTAGATAACCAGGTCTTTCTCTCACAAAGCTGCTGGGTAGGTTTGAACTACCAACCTTTCCATTAGCAACTGAGCTCTTAACTGTTGTTTTACCAGGGCTCCTTTTGAAAAGAATAGACAAGGAGAAATCCTTAGTAAGCAAATGGAGTAAGAGGTTTGGTACTTCCTAGACAAAACAGAGCCCTTTGTTAAGAACCCTAGCAAATTTATGAGTGGAAGAATACTTCCGGACTGAAAAACAATAATTTTTTGTTAGTTGTTGAAGATTCGACCCTTCCTCGATTATAGATATTAATATAAAAAAGATGAACTAAACCTATCTGGGAGCTCTGGTAGCATAGTGCCTAAGGCATTTGACCGCTAACCAGAAAGCTGGCGGTTCAAACCCACCAGCCACTCCTCAGAAGGAATGTTGGGCAATCTACTTCCATAGTGATACTGCCTCAGAAACCCAAGGAGGGGTCACTATGAGTCAGGTCCAACTTGATGGCATATAACAACAACAACAACAAACCTTATCTAGAAAATGAAGATGTTCTGAGATTCTTCTGGCAATTTAACAACCTTATCATTTATTGCCAGATATTAGTAGCTGAACTGAAGCTACTACTGAAATCAAAGACATGCAGATCATTAATTAGATTCTATATTTGAGGATTTTGTTAACTGATATATTGCAACGCCCTAGTTTTGACTGGGACATATAATATACATTAATTATTTGAATGTGTGTATTTGAATATAAATATTAACATATGTATTTTTATTGATTTCCTAGGTCTGTATAAAAATAAGGAGCTCTGGTGGTGTAGTGCCTAAGGTATTTGACTGCTAACCAGAAGGTTGACAGTTCAAACCCACCAGCCACTCTATGGAAGGAATATGGGGCAATCTACTTCCATAAAGATTTAAACCCAGTGGGGGTCGCCATGAGTTGGAATTGACTTGATGGCAGTGAGTTGGTTTTTTTGGTTTAGGCCTGCAATAACAAAGTACTACTAAATGGTTCGTTTTAAACAACAGAAATTATTGCCTCACAGTTCTGGAACCTAGAAATCCAAATAAATCAGCATGTTGGCCAGGCCATGCTAGCTCCAAAGTCTATAAGAGAAGATTCTTTCTTGTCTCGCCCAGTTCTGGTAGCCCCAAGCGTTCCTGGGGTTGTAGATGTAGCCTCACAGGGCCTTCCTTCCTGCAAGTTGTCTGTCCTCTTTTATAAGGACATCATTCAGATTGGATAGGATCCACCTTGCTCCAGTATATTGTTATTAGGTGCTGTCAAGTTGATTCTGACTCATAGCGATCCAATGTGACAAAACAGATCTGCCCCATAGGGTTTCCTAGGCTGTAAGCTTTATGGAAGCAGATGCCACATCTTCCTGTGGAGCTTCTGAATGAGTATGAACTACCAAATTTTAAGTAAGTACCAAGTGCTTAACCATTGCACCACCAGGGCTCCAGTGTGGCTTCATGTTAACTTAACTGATGACATTTTCAAAGACCGTATTTCCAAAGATCATATTCATAGATACCAGAGATGAAGACCTCAACATACCTTTCTGGGGAACACAAGTCAATCTGTAATAGTGTATACATAATCTACTCATATCTTGCATATTTTAATCATTCAAAAATAATACTATGTCACTGCAATTTTTCACCTCTCTCCCATAGGTATCTCTGATGAATATATAACACCTATGTTTAGTTTTTACAAAAGCATCGGAGAATTGAAAATGACTCAAGAAGAGTATGCTTTGCTTACTGCAATTGTTATCCTCTCTCCAGGTAATTTCCATGTTACATTTTATATTTTATACCATTGATTTTTTTTTCTCAGTGTGATAGTAATAATGTCATTGAAGAAATATTGCAAGATACAGAAATAAAGAAAAAAGTCAAAAGTCAAATGGCCTATATAATCTTAACACTCAAACTGAACTATTAATAACATTTTAATATACTTCTCAGTCTTTTTTCTAAACATCACAGTCATTCATTCAGTAAATGCATATTAAACACCTGCTATATGCTAACTATGGTTCTAATTAATGGGGATACAGCAG